TATATATATATATATATATAATTTACAAACATCAATTTTTATAAAAAAAAAATTCTAATATATTTTTTGGAAACTGCCAAATGGTTAAAGTTGGAAGCTTAATGCTCTGGAAACTTGGGATCAAATCCCAGATGGGTCAAAAAACATCAGGAATTTTTCACAGGTGATAAGTATGAATATGTTAGGTCACCCCAACCTGGGCCTGACTGAACCCATAATGAGATTGCTAAAAAAAGCCTTCAGTGCCCACAGTGTAGTTAAAAAAAATTAAAAATATTTTTACAAGTTGTTTTAACACTAATTAAGACAGTGGACCACATAAAATAATATGTCTCTTAGATGACATTTATATGTATTCAATGAAAAAACAGTATATTTATCTGAGGGTGCTTGTATTACATGTAAATATATAATAACTGAAAAATTAATTCCAGGATTCTGGCAATTTTTTCTAGTACCCATTGAAAAATGGCTGCATTTCAGAATTTATTTTTCGCCTAAATATATACAGTTACATAAATCTAAATATATATAACTCAAAGGTGACTGACATAGTGATCTATCAACGCACAGCCCAAACCACTGGACGGATCGGGCTGAAATTTGGCATGCAGGTAGATGTTATGACGTAGGCATCCGCTAAGAAAGGATTTTGATCAATTCTANGCTTCTGATACGATGTCTCCAGCACACTTTTTCAGTTATCCAAAGCAAAAGCATTTTCTCAACATGATCTAATGTCTTTGATCTCTGTTTAGAAATTATTTAACCCCTTTCGCAACCATAGCAGATTTAATAATGTTTTTATTTTTCACGATTGTCGATATCACCGTTCTCCGAATGCAATATGCAACAGTTAAAATCTCAAACATGCGTAAAACCTTCATATTTCTCAACAATCTCTTTTTTCAGTTCCATTGTGATTATAGTCATTTTTTTAGTTTTCTGTTGCTTCTCATTTGCCTTTTTGCAATTCATGATTATTAAAAANGGGCAGTTTATTCTCTGTTGTATTCTCCAGCAAACAATACATACAAATACAGTACACTATTTTCTGAGGAAACACGCATACTTATCCTTTTTTAACCCCATTCCCGATAACCCGGCATTTTCACAAACTCGGCCACCCTTCGGTCCACATTAGGCCGAGTTTTCGAGGTTCTACTGTAGAAGTAAATTTAGAATTAGTGCAATAATTTTTGTTCAAGTTAACTTCCTGTATAACTTGTGCCATATCGCTGGAAGGTCGAGTGAAGGTTCATTACACAAACTAAGTGTTCTTATGTAAAACAACTCCCATAAGAAAACAACCCTGCAATCTGAGTACTGTTGAAGGAGAGTGGCATCGACCAATAATATATTGTAACCATTTTCTAAAGTGTTTCTAGCAAGTTTGGTAGTGGTTCTGCAATTTTTGATATCATCTTGATGTTCTCGAAAGTGACAAGCCAATTTTCTAGTTGTGATCCAAATATAAAATATTTTTGCTCCCATTTGTGTCTGATCCCTGATTTCTGCAAAAAGGTATAACTATCCCTTCATTACATAATAATCTGCATAGGAAAATCAGTGGTTTGATAGGAAGTACAATGCCATGTCTCTTGAAAGCACGTACAATACAATGTGTAACATCCCCCAAATATGGAATGGACAGTTGAGCAAACACCAACTCTTCTTTTGTCATCAGATCTCAAAGCAGTTGGTGGAAAAAGAGTTGTGGTCAAGATTATTGACGTACTTGAATGTTGTTACTGCTGTAACAACCTGACTCAATTCTTTGTGTACAAGTGAGGGTGACGAAGGGTATAAATATGCCTTGCGGATATAAGCAGCAATGGCCATGTTTACATATCTGGGAGGCTGAAAGGAGTTGGCTAATATGATGTAAAGCAGTAGTTCGAATTTGTGGTGCACTGAGAACCAGAGTTGTGTAGAAGTCCTATGTATAGACAAATCTAAGAAGGTAATCTTTCTTTCCATTTCTTCTTCCATAGAGAAAGAAATGGAAGAGTAAACTCTGGCTAGAGATTGAATGAAAGTTAACAATTCCTCAGTGGTACCATCCCAAGCAATTAAGATATCATCTACTTACCTAATATAGGGTAAGGGGTAACATATCATAATGGATGCATAAAATACTTTATACTCTATTTCTCATAATTAACTCAACCAAAACAGCTGAGAGAGGAGAGCCCATAGTAACTATTTGCTTTTTTTTTTTTTTTTTTAAAAACTGGCCATTAAATTGGAAGTAATTGTGTTGAGTGACTAGAAGAACCTCCCATATACCAAGTATTTGTTGGACTGTGAAAGCTTTTTCTATAAAAGGATGTTAGTAAGCATTACAGCCTCAAAATTTGGTATGGATGGATTGAACGAATTTATATCAATTATGTAAAACCAAAAAGTTTCTGCTGAGATTGAACCAAATCTGTTAATGATACTTGTTTTGACTTGTAACATTGAAGAGACAACAAAATTGGAGTTTGTAGTGAGTAACATAGTAAGGCCTTCTCCAAATGATATAGTTGTTGACCAATGGATGTAAAGGACATCCAGGTTTATGAGTTTTTAACTCAAAGAAGAGCTATGGGCAAGATACATTTGTTGGTAAACAAAGATGTCCGGCCAGTGTAGACAACAGACCAGATCATTTGATAACTTTTTGAGTTAATCTTAGTACTATTGGAATGGGTTCAGTGTTAAATAGAACCAGATTGCAATTTCAAACATTTTAGATAATACTATATTATAGATAATATTATGTTGCATTTGAATGCATTTTTATGCATAAAATGCAGCTAAAAAGATTTAAAAAAAAAAGACTGTTTTGGGGTTAGGAATGGATTAATACATTTTACATTGTTTCTTATGGAAAAATTTGCTTGTTTACAAACTTAATTCGTTTCTAAATTTGACTGTATTTTATAAATTTTAGCATAAAATGCATGAATACATTTTATGCTAAAATGTATGAATCAAAGTATTCTTGCTAAAAATTTAAAACATAACATTATGTTTTAATGTTTGTAATTAGTTTTTATTTTTGGCAAGAATACTTATATCACAATATACAAACATGATTAGGATTAAATGGAGTTTAGATTAGTAAGAATGCACTACATTCAAAAATTATAGTTTTAACAGCAGTTAATAAATTTATAAAAAATAAGATAAATACTTCTCTTTCTTGATCTCTATGAGCTTCCAGAATTTTTATTATTGTTAATTCAACGTAACCATGAAACCTATGTGCTTGCCTTCTAATGAGTTCACATAATGCTCTTAATGCTAAAGATCGAATACACATCTGAAAGAATTTTATACCAAAGAAATATTAAAACCCAATATTGAAAATTAAGATTAGTGATTTCAAAAATAATACATCTATAATAAAAAACTCCCAACAATAAATGGTGTAAGTTTAAATAAATAATTTAATATATTTTCTTAATTCTAAAATGAACTGTTTTCCATTTTAACTAGAGTAGTAAATTTAAAACTTATTTTTAACATTTAAAAAACTTGCCTTTAAGATTATATTGTTATGTAATATAGTATTAAAATTAAATTTTATTGTATATACAGAAAAACATAGAAATAAAGTTGTTCATGGTATTTCATGTCATTTGTATTGGTTTTTAATTTGCTACTCAACAAAACTTTAATCAATTTAAAAATTTCTCCCTCTAAAAAATCTTAAAACCAATTTCAACATCTTGTTATTGGTTTTTAGAAATACAGCTTAACAATACATGCTGCAAGAGATAAAGCTTAGTGAATTCTTGCTGTTCAAGAAAAACTGTATGGTGTAGAGTTTTAATGTGAAAGCTGAGACATTATCTTGCTGTATTTGCTGCTGTGCTGCCACTTGTATGCATCATATCCTTTATAATATTAAATTTACAATAGACATATAAAACTATGTTAATTTGGTTCATCATCTTAATGAAATGGAAAATCAGAAAGTGATATTCAAGTATCTTTGCTGAAATTTTGTCATGTATAGCATTATTTGTCAGAATTTGATCAATTTTAAACATATATTGTTCTTGCTACTGTAGTTATGATTCAAAATAAAAAAAATTAAATAAAAATATAGTAAAAAAAATTACTTTATATAAAAAATCTTGTGTTTTTGGTTATGCCAATTAATTTTCTATTGGTAAAAATATTTGTAACAGTTGTAAGAATTATCAGCCAATAAGAAAGAGGTTCAAAAATCATGATGACAATTTTACATTTGACACTGCATTATTATTGCAATGAAGATATTAGAATCTGATATATTCATATATACTTTAAAAAACAGAAATTTTAAACTATTTGATTCTCATATATATCAGGCATTTAATTAAATTTACTCTTAATAATTAAAATTTTTAATTATGAGAAGAATGGACAGTATTAATCAACAATTTTATCAAACCAAAAATTAGAATGATGCAACTAAATCAGAAATCTTGCATCTGATTTAGCAACATCAAAATTCCTTCCAATAATCTCAGATAAAACAAAATTTATTTCTGTTATGAAAGAATATTTGAATCTGAATACTTGCCAACAGAAGAATTATTTACAAGAAATAAAAAAAGTTATTGTACTCAATGAATTAAAATTTAGTGAAAGACTAATTTAAAGCAATTTTTGAAAATGGAATAAATAAATGTATAAAAATAAAATGCATCTTATTTAAATTATTATTATTTCATACACTACCGTATTAGCCCGAATATAACGCAACTCCAAAATTTTCATACAGATATTTAGAAAAAAAATAATTCTCATAAAAGAATTCAAAGAAAGTAAAATTCAATCAGATAAGCATTTATTTAGGTAATTATAGCTAATAACACAGGTTACATTCATGTCAATAAAATTAAGTAATGTAAAACAAAATTAATATTACGTAAGTAACAACAAAAAACGAGAATGTTTATTCAGAATCTGAACTGTTTTCAGAATGAAAACTCATTGATGTCAAATCGGTATCATCAGTATTTTCATTCACGCTTTCAGTATCCCACAAAATGTCAACCTCCGTCCAATTTAAATCATTGGAAATGTAGCATTTCTTGAAATTTTTAACTATCCATTCAGGTTCGATCTTCTGCCAGGCAGTCGCAATCCATTCTCCCAAAAGAGACTAAGTTTTTTTTTATTTTTTTCGAAGGTGTCAATGGATGATTGCCCGATAATAGATAATTTTTGTATTCTTTTCGAAGGTTAACTTTAAATAGTTTATTAACCGCCACATCCAAGACTTGCAACTGAGAAGTAATACCACCCGGTATTATTACAAGATCGGAATTCAATGCCTCAATTTTTTCCTTAACACTTGTCGTAAGGTGGCCTTAAATTGCTCGGACGTTCAGTCGCGTTTCAACCTCTGTAGGAAAATGTCCTTGTTTATATTACATTCCATTACTTAAACCTCGAATTTAGCGCGAGTCGATTTTTTAACAGAAAATAAATGGTCAAAAAATATCGAGTTATATTCAGGCTAATACGGTAATAAATTTGTATATATTGTATAATAAATTTTAATTTTACAATGTTTTGGTGAAAAAAAAATAGTAACTATTTTTACTGACTTGCAAACATTCCTTTTTTAACATTTTATACAGACAATACATATTCAAAAAGACAGAAATAAAGATTCAAGCTTGTTCTCTCTCTCGCCAAACAAAAAATGGAATTGATTCAATGCATCAAATTAGGTGAGTATCATGTGTAAAGCATTAAAACAAAGTAATTCAAAGTAGATAAGACAAAGTGTTCGTACACTACAGTCGACTATAAAGACCCCACCAATTTTGTGTTAGCTCTAATTATAGCTAAAATGCACTTAAACAAATGGAATGCGAGAGTTCTGAAGAAGTGACATTTCACTTTAATCTCACAATATTTACAGTTTGCAAGAGATCATAAAAAATGACAAAAGTCAATTTCTAAGACATGTCTAAAAGTATAAGGACAGCACAAAACATGATTTTTCTCAGTTACATACAATATTTGCATCCAGAAAATATGTCCAGCCAAGAAAAATCATACCATCGCTTGCCGTCCTTATACATTGGAGATACAAT